GCGCACGAGGCCCTCACCGCTGCTGAGCGTGGACTCGCAGTGCCAGATGTCCAGGCTGGCGGGCTTCCGGCAGGACTCCCACAAGGACAGGTAGTACTGGTGGTCGGCCGTGACCCAGGCCGGGCTCAGCACGGCTCCCAGGTCCAGACACAGCGCCAGGAAGATGCACACCAGCCCGACCAGCTTCAGCGGGGTCAGCACCGACACGCGCACCTCCTCCATGCCGCTGCCCGCCGAGGCCATGCCGGGGCGCCGCTGCCGCCCGCCCCAACCCAGGCGAGGACCCCAGGCGAGGTCGCCAGGCGGGACCGGAGAGCCCGGAGCCCGACCTCTCCACCAGCCGAACCGCTAAGCGCGGGACTGGTGTCCGCTCTAGGGATCAAAGCCTCCTGCCGAGTCGCCAAGGTGAGTCGGCCGGAGAGACTACTGGCCCGATGGGGGTCGCGGGCAGCAGCAGCGACAATGATCGCACCCTGGACCTTCGCAGCGCGCTCTGCCCGCGCCAGCACTTGCTCCGCCTGGGCACTGCCCGGCTGGCTCCGCCCAGGGCCCGCCCCAGGCTGCAAGAGGCGGCGCCTAGGCAGAGGGGCGGGGGATCGGCACCTCGGCGGCGTCCCGCCTGGGTTCTGGGCGCCTGGACTCCCGCCCACTCCGACCTTTCCCCGCGTGATCGCAACCCTGCCCGTGGCCCACGCCTGACCAAGCTTGTCTGAGGTCGCTCATTGTCCTGCTTGCCCAGTCGTATGAGTTTCCTTTTCTGAGGGAGTAAGGGTGGGTCGTTTTCTAGAAGGTTTCCCATAAAGATTCCTACTTGTCCTAGCCTGTGGCCTTTGGAGCAAGATTAGGTCCCCAGTCTCAGTGATGTAACACTCTCTTCCTAGGCCAATTTCACACCTCTAGGGATTTGTAGGAATGAAGAAGAAAGTAACGAAAGGCATTTTGCCCTCTTTTCAAACCGCGATCACGCTGAGAAGCCCCCAGGACTTTATTTCGTTAGTTCTTTCCCAAGCTTGCTGCCGCTTCTATTTTCTGAACTTGCCTGCTTTTACGCCCCCTATGAAGGGCGTTTGCTCAGGGAACCAACCGCAGGAGCTAAAATGGGAAAGAGATTTCCGCTAAATGTAAAGTCAGCCTTATTTGAATTTCAGCTGCTCCATCCTTTGGGTGTTGGCTCAAACCTTAATTCATTTCCCTTTGTATTATGCCAAGATAGATCAGAAACTGGATTTGGGTATTAAACTGTCCTTGTCTTCAGCAAGCTCTATCACAACGCTTATATGGGAAAAGTGATACAGCATTCCTGAATGGGAAACTAGGGAACCCACAAATGTTTACTGGAGAGGCTACAGATTGGGACTCAGCTCAAAAGGACATTGTCCTGGTTCTGGAGAGTAAGTGTTATTATCCTATACGAGAGGACTAAACTCCTTGAAACAGAAATCGGCGTTTTGTAATTGGCTAGTTCATCTAGTTCATTGTATGGTTGGCAAGTTATTTCTGTTATCTCTTAGATTAGATTTCATCTCCCCTGAATTAAAAAAAAAAACAAAAAAGTATTGACTAGATCATTCCTGACTGGAGAAAGAGTTGTTCCTGGATCACTCACGTGGTGGAAACTCTGAATGAAACTGAAGTTCTATACTCCAGGACCAATCTCTAGGAGTTCCACACATTCTGTTCTGTCTCTAGCCCTTATATGCTAAATAAAGAGACACTGTGAAGGGCAGAGAAAGGAGATTTGGCAACTTCGAAGAAAAAATGTAGCTGCACCCAGGGAGAAGCCAGGGTCTTGATAAACAAGGCATTGATGCCTGGCAGGTGGTCTGGTCCTTCATGGATTCTAAAATGGCTGTAAAGAGACTGAAGGAGACAATGGTTCTGGACAAAAGATACAGATATAAAGTGGAGGCTGGAATGCCTTGCTTTTATCTGGCTTTCAGTTAGTTCAGAGGCTCAACGGAAGTGTCAGTTGCTTCAGCAAATCCAACTTTTAAGCCTCTGTTACAAAAATTGGTGTTAAGACCCCGAGAATGGAAAAAACAGCTACCCCCCTTTATGAAATATCATCCTCACTACTACAAGATTTCATATATTTCTTGGCAATAATTTTGTCTTCAACCCACCTCTTTCAGTCTGACCACATCTTGACCAAAATATCTTGAGTGGAAGCAGCAACCAAATTAATATCAAATGCCCAACAATAAAATTCAGCTCAATGTGAAAGAGAAAACCTGACTTTTCTTACCTTTGTAAATCAAAGGATTGCAAACTGTCCCTTACTACTCTACAAAACAGCCAGGTTCACACTGGGCTTCTTAACCTGGATCCCCCAAACAGCTTCTTGTCCTATGAAGTGGAAGGAAGTCTGAGGGAACACTGAAAACTAGGAGGGGAAGGGAGATTAGGCTTGTGATGGAGAGGAAGGAACATTAGGCTTGTGGTGTTTCCATTTTACCTGGATTTATGTTTTAGAGTATGCAGTATTTATTCAAAAATAAGCTTTAAGAAAATTTCTTGAGCTTACCCTCCTAGTTAGTTATAAATAAATCTTTTCTCTTTAAGTTCTATTTCCTTCCCTTTAATAAGAATATTTTGGAGTCAGCTAATATTTTTCCTTTTCATTATTCCCTGTAATTCAGGCTTTCTTTCCTCTATCACCCTTATGGAAACTCCCAACCCCAACATTTATTTAACTTCATCATTTCTGGATTGTTCTCAGCTGCTTACTTGAGTTATTCTGTCCTTTTTAAACTACTTACACTATTTTCTTTATGTTATTTTCAAAATTAGAAAACCAAGACATTTCTTGAAAAGACTTGGAAAAATTATATTATGTGAAGTAAGCCAGGCCCAAAGAAACATAGGTTCCATGATTTCTCTTATTTGCAATAACTTGTATATGTCTAGGACAAGCAGAAAAGGTCAAAAGCCATATAAGATGATGTTAAGTGAAATGAACCCCAAGATAGGGACACAAGAGGTTTTATCTTTCTTGCTGTTGTTTTTTAAATGTATTTATAATGTACTATGTAATTTGGGGGGGGTTCTTTTATATGTTCTTTCCCCATGATATAACCCATGTTTTCACTGTATTTGATTCCGATGCCCTGCATCGGAAATAACGAAGTGCTGAAATAAGATTTCAGGGTGACCCATTGTAGGATGAGATGTACAAGACACTATGTTGAAAACAAACTTTACAACATGGGGGGGGAGTTGGGGAGGTGGGGAGGGAAGGGATAGTAGGGGAAAAACAAAGGAGAGAGTAACAATGCTCCATAGGAGATGTACTTGTTACCTTACTTATGTAACTATAATCCCTCAGTACAGAATCTTTACAATAAAAATATATGTTAACAAAACAAGCCATTTCTAACAAAAGACCAAAGTCTCCTAAAATGCTCATTGCTGTATCAATCATTTATAAAATTTGCTCATCAAAATGAGCAAAATTCTATAACAATCTGCTATAGAATTCACTATCAAAATATAGAAATGTCTCAAACAGCTGGGCACCAGTGGCTCAAATCTATAATCCTAGCTACTACCTCAGGAGGCTAAGATCTGAGGATCCTAGTTCAAAGCCAGCCTGGACAGGAAAGTCCTTGAGACTCATCTTCAATTAACCACCAGAAAACTCGAAGTGGAGTTGTGGCTCAAAATGGTAGAGCACTAGCATTGAGTAGAAAAGCTCAAGAACAGTGCCCAGGCCCTAACAAAAAAAAACAACAATAACAAGAAGACAAAACCAAATGTCTCAAACAAAAGTACTGTTTACTTTTTCTAAGTTTATAGTAAACTTGTCCAGTGGAAAAACATATTTCAAACTGATATGAGGTGAACTGTGTTTTTTTAATTTAATTTTATTGTAAAGATGATGTACAGAGGCGTTTCAGTTACATACATAAGGTAATGAGTACATTTATGGTCAAATATTGTTACCCCCTCCCTTGTTTATCTCCTGCTTTCCCTCCCCCTGGACTCTCCTTCTCTCAAGTTGTAGAGCAGATTTTCAACATAGTGTCTTGTGAGTATCACTGTTGGAGTGATTGACACTTTGTCCTTTGTCTTACCATTTTGTTGTTCCTCTTCCCTTCCCCAAATCAGATAAAAGTATATACAAGACACAGGGTACCAAAATCAGAAACTGTGACAGCAGGATATAAACTAAAGGAAAAAAAGAACAAAGAAAAAAATAACCTCATATAGTTCATTAAAGACAACAATAACAAAGAGAAACCTCTTTTTTCCATATCTTGGAGTTCATTTGGATTAACATCATTTTATATGGTCATATGGACATAGCTATTGAGTTATTGTGATCCTCTGCTGGGACTATTATAGACATTTACTAATTAAATTACAAATGAGGGAAACCATGGAGCCTATGTTTCTTTGGGTCTGGCTTACTTCACTTAAATATCCTTCCATTTCCTTTGAATGGGGCAATGCCATTCTTTCTGATGGAAGCATAGAATTCCATTGTATGTATGTGTGTGTGTGTGTGTGTGTGTGTGTGTGTATGTATATCACATTTTCTTGATCCATTTATCTACTGAGGGGAATTAAGTTGGTTCCATATCTTAGCTATGGTTGAAGTGTGGTTTTGTAACCAGGAATTCCAGGTGAGAGGTCTAACTCCAGGAAATGTACCCATGGTCAACACCAATATATTGGGTCTAGCCACTCACCCGATATTCTAAACAAAGAGGTGAGGAATGAGGAAGGGCAGAGGAAGGAGATTTATTATGTCATGCCATTAGAAGAGGTGATGTAAACTTTTCTGCTCATCTTTGGGTACAGACATGGACTTCGAGTTTCAGTAGAGAAAGAATTGAGGCAGGAGATAAGAGATATGTGTAACTGTCAAAAAGTCACCCTCTTTTTCTCAGTTTTGGTTCTACAGAAGCTCCAGAGAGTACATAGTTATGTTGCACTTGCTTCCCACGAAACAACTACTCCTGCTTCAGAATTCTGTATCCTCATTATAAGGAATTGTCCTCATCTGCGTGGTGGTCTGTCCAGCAAGGTTACTACTCTTTCCTCAGGAGTAGTTTTGGTCCCTTGTCATAAAGATGTCATCAATCATTCTTGTCCTACCTGGAAACCAAGGTGATTGCAGCGGAGAGATTAAAGAAGACAGATGTAAAATGGAAGCAGAGATACAATTAGTTTCTTCCTTAATTTGTGGGCCCAAGTAAAGAGTCAGTGCTTCCCAATAAAAGCCCTTTCTAATCATCTGTTACACTTTTGACTTAGTCCATTCAGTGTAAATAAATATGCATCTAGTGATACTGCTGGATGTCCAGTAATTTATAGTTACAGTATGTGCAACTTAGTATCCTTCAAATATCTGAAAAAAATGAATTTCTCTTCACAGCTGGCTTGCAAATTGTCATATAAAGTAGGATTGGAAAAGTGGGAGATGCAACAATTAGCAAGCAGTAAATAAAAACCTACCA